ATAACAACATGATTTTTGTTCACATTGCTGTCTTTTACTTCTGATTCCCACAGGATGGAGAGGAATTTGAGAGGTTGAACAAACCAAGCAGTGACATCGATACAGATGAAGATTCCCTTTAGCATGAGGCTGGCTTGGAGGAGTGCTGTTGCTCACAGTGAGACAGAGTTAATCTTTTATTAACATAGGGATGAGTCGTTTTTCCCCACTGACAGACTATTTGGAACTGTTTTGGGGCTGGATGTCAAATGTGGATGAGGACAATATTCAAGCTGTATATATGGAGAGTTGTATTCATTTGTGCCTGTCTCCCAGTGTCTGGGGAAATGGAAATCTGGAATGCCTTTGTAGCAGCTGGTGAATTTTACATGCAGCTTACTTGGCGTAACTTTGAAAGAGCTTGAATAAAACAAAAGTGTATTAAACAGTATGAATGCATCATCTTTTTTGTGTGTGTGTTTAGAAAGGCTTTGTGTAGAGGCTTAGTTTGCACTGAGCCCACTACTGAAAACAAATATTATGCAGCTACAGTAATGCCCTTGAACATCTGGAGCACTGAGCAAGAGAGTGCAGGTGGCAATATCATCTGGTGTTGTTCTACCCTGGCAGACTTATAAGGTCTTGCATTCATTTTATAGAGAGAGAAGTCATTCTGCAGAGTGCCAGGCATAGTGATCTCAGAATTTCTGTTGAGGCATCTGCTGGATTGTATTTTGACTGAGATGAAAAATAGGTTCCAAATTATTCAGAGAATTTTGAAACGGGCAAGGGAACAGGGATGCCAATAAGGGATTCCTGGTATGTTCCAAAGCCTCTTCTCTCACAGCAGTGGAAAAGATGTTGGTTTATAATTTCCTCCCTTCAAAAATGTGTCTTTCATAGTTGAAAGATACTGTCAGAAGAATTCTTAAGATAAGCAATGAGTTCAGTGTCAGAGCTCAGAGCCTCATACCAGAGTGTATAGTAAGCAGTAAGTGATGCATTTCTCTGGACTGAAGACAGTCCTGCCTTTGTTCCCCTCTGCCATCCTGTCCAGGCTCTGTGTATAAAGCTCATGTGTACTGTATTGATGGCTTATTGCTATATTAACATACCTCCTGTCATTGATCCATCAAGAGGGGCAGCCTGTTTTCATATGTGGCCCATGGTTTATAACTTTCAAGTTATAAATGAATCTAAAATTTCTATTTTTTTCTGTATTTTTTAGAGTATATATTAAGAATAACCATACAAAATTAATTTAATGTTGTTGGTGAGAAGTTTTTTGCATCTAATTTCATTGTGCTTGTATAGCAGGCCATTTCAGCATAAGGAATCCTAGTTGTTTGCATCACAATTGCTTGCGTCAGAATCACTTTGTACAGAATGAATAGAAGGTATATTTCAGTGCAAATTCCAGAAACCCCGTTGCTCTCATTGATGTTGCATTTTGGGACATGAAACTTAAAAAAATCCTCAAACTGTTAAAGGCTTAGTAGCAATAAGACTTTTTTTTTCATTGCATTCAGCTTTGCAATGTATACCTGAGTTTGTTGCATTTTTCAGTCACAGCTACCAACTTTAGCAGGTACTTCCAAAAAGAGTGAAAGTACTGTTAGCTTTAGATGGCTTTGCATTTATGTGAGCAGTAACATTTTACATGACGTTCCAAAGACCTTTGCCTTGCATCAAGTGAGAACATAGAAATCAGCCAAGATCATACTTCTAAAGACACAGCACAAACTGAAGATGAATATCTTAAAAACCATATTTGACCATTGTGCCTGAAGTATCTGCATGAAGAGACAGGAAATATGGAAATGACCGATCTTCAGCTCAAGATCATACTTCTAAAGACACAGCATCAAACTGAAGATTAATATCTTAAAAACCGTATTTGACCTTTGTGCCTGAAGTGTCTGCGTGAAGAGACAGGAAATATGGAAATGACCGATCTTCAGCTATTATAAAGTGCATTTAGTTCTTGCTTTCAACTCTTGTCCTGCTTAATTATTTTCCTTTCTGTAAATTTCTCCAGTGCTATCATGCTTGACTTATTTGCCAAAGTCTAGGTTGCGCAGAGGTATTGGTTATATAACTGTTGATCCAAGTTTTTACTCATGCTGCAGATTTGGTTCTGTCTAACATGTAGAAATCTTTGTTATCTTCAGGTTGGAGGTCTCAGAGAAATTATGTTGGATGGCTAGGCAGGTTCCTTGTTATGATGAAGGAGAACTGTAGCAACAGGAATGTTAACTTATGTCTAAAAATGGGTAAGGATCTGCATCCACTTAGCAGTAACATAAGGTAAATAGTAACCCAAAGCATAACATGCAAGTGTTTGCAGCTGTGCTATCCATGGCAATGGTAAAATTTAGTGTATAGGTGTATTTGTTAGATGAAGTGACTGAGCAATTGTCAGCTGGAGAGCAGCCCTGGTGAGCAAGAGGGAGCAATTCTATGGAGTTACATGTTTCAGATAGATCATGTGAAATCTCACTTGATTAAGTACTTCCACTGTATGGAAACTACTCCATGTTGGAAAGCTTAACTTATATTCGCTCAAAATTACAATAGGGAAATTTATGAGGATGTTTTTGGAGAGCAGCATTAGTTTGGCACATAGTCTTTAATGAATACATTGGGCAGAGTGCTCATGCTCGGCTTTGATTTAGAGCCCAGATTCACAAATGTTTGAGCTTAATTGCTGCTGAGGGTGTTATGTTCCTCCCTCCAGGTCTGAGGAAATAGTTGACAAAACATCCCAGGAAGAGAGGTGTGTTTGTGTTCCTCTTGCTTGTAACAATTCAATTAAAAAAGTATTTATTTTGATTAATTTCATCTATTTTGTGAATGTAGCAGCTTCAAAGACAGACTGTGGATGAAAACAGCTTGGAGCTGAATCAAATGCCATAAATATGTATAAGAAAATAGATTTTCTGTATCACATAGAATCTTCCCACTAAGATATGTTGAAATAGGACCTTAATCTCAGTAAGTCTGTCCTTGGAGTGATGCTGCAGGGACAGATCCAGTGATCTGGATTTGTTTTACCAAATGAAGTCTTCATTTGGAGAAATATAACTCCTGAATGCTTATAGCCTGCAAGATAACAACATGTTGTTGTTGAAAGAATATTTTGGCTTGGTGCTCCTTCTGGCTTTGCTTTTAGTTTTCCATAAGGAAAAGTGGGTTGCAAAATCAGGATTTTAAATCATTGCTATAAGTTTCTGCTGATTTTGTATCCTTTTGTAATGAAGGCAGAAATAGGCACCAGAATGTAGAATAATACAGAGTCTTCTACAAATTCTGTGAATATTTGGATGTGTAGTTTTGGTTAAGAGCCCATCCCTACCTCCCTTGATAAGTGCACAACTTGTTTGGAGTTGTCTTTTAATGCAACTCCCACTGAATGCCTAGGCTGGGTTTGGTACTTGCACAACTTGACTTTGAATTTCAGACAGGGGTATTAAAAAAGACCATTTGGATCAGGTGCTGCACTCTTTTTAATGTAAGTTAACCCTCACAGCACAGGACATTTAATTTATGTGATTTGTAATGTGAGTTAAAAGGGCTTTCATTTAAAGACTTTACATGAAAACAAGATTACAGGAAAGTTTAAATGAACACCTGAAAGAAAATGCTCCAAGGATGTGTTTCTTTTTGTCTACAGGAGGTGCCTGTTAGGCATCTGGTATATTTTCCTCTGCTTTTGCTTTATGCAAGGAAAGTTAGGCAGCTGACCTTGATACAGTAATGCAATGAGCTCTTGTTTTCTAAAAGTGAGCTACAGGACACTCCATTTTCTTCTAGAAACCCTTCCATCCTGTGATTCTTTTTTGGTTTTTTGAATTTCAATTTTTGAATTTTGAATTTTTGAATTTTGAATGTCCACTGCTTTCAGCTGTGGAAGGGCTATTGTCACTGAGAGCTCAGAAGCTCTCTGCAGGTAGCAGTCCTCTCAAAATCATTCTGTCAAATGCCTTCCCCCAGTTAGCTCCTGTTACCTGAGAAAGATTAGTCAGGGCTGTACCCTGCACTGACTAGAGCTTGTGATAGGGAGGGCAGCCTGCCCCAAAGAGTGACCAGGTTTGTAAAGTTAAGGCCTTGTGACCATTTGTCTGCCTTTCTGACATTCAGGAGGGCAAGTAATGCCTGACCCTTTGTGAATTAAATTTCTAAAGAAGGCATCTGGTTTTGAGTGAATTTGTTGCTTTAACCAGTTTTGTTTTCATCTGGGGGAAAAAAAAAATCAAGTCAAAATGCAGAGCATGCGCTGGCCAGCTTAGAGCTGTTCCTGTGCTACTTCTGTGATGGCAATACCCAGTACAAGTGCCCTGTTGTGTGCATCTATATGTGAGGTGCACCCACATCATGGATTATAAAAAGAAATGTGACAGGTCAGACACACCTTCGACATCAGAAGTGACCAATGTACCATTACAAAGGCTGACATGGTATCTTCGCTTAAAGATATTCCATAATCTTTCAGCTGCATCTTTAATGTTTAGAAATCTAACCCAAATGGCTAGAAACCATGACTATGCATGGTTGAAACCATGGCTATGCATGCAGTTTCTGACTCTGGTTTCAGTAGGGTAGGGTGGTGCTGCAGCTTCAGTGCCCAAAGACATCAATGAGAAGGGAGAAAAAAAAACATTTCTGAAAGTGTGGCAGAAATAGATTAAATTAATCTCAAATACTTTTATAAACATTTAATCCAGATCACTTTTATATGTGAGGGTATGAGAAGAAGAGGTAAAAGAAAATTTGAAATTTAGAGTAACAGTTTAGTTAAAAGCATTATTATAGAGAGCTAGTTACAAGTCATTGAAAATATACTTGAATGAGATTTCTTTTTCTGATGAAAATTATGCTTTTTGGATTTCTGTATTTCAGACAGTGCTAACCCTGGTTGGTGTTTCCACTTAGCTCTCATTAATTTGGATTTAACAGTGAGGTGGGCAGGACCTAAGAGAACAGGGACCCCAACTGAAAGAATAAATAGCCATGCAGTAAGCTTTGTAGTTAAGAACTTTACATTGTATTCTATTGGAACAAGTTCTGCCATAGCCATAAATCTTATTTTCATTCATAAAGGCAGCTAATTACAATAGTAATGCACTCTAGAAGGGATGCTGTCTTTTTAAACATGCTGTTTCAAAAAGATTTTATTACTGTTGTTGTTATTAAAGAGCATACCCCATGTTTCTTTCTTAAATTTTTCTTTTCTGGGAGAGACACAAAATGTGGGGTTTTTTTTTTCTCTTCATAAGCATAATGAAATCTCACTTTCCAATAAATATACTTTTTTTTGTCTCCTAAGAAAAAGTAGTAAAAAACACATTGTTGGACAGTTTGTTTCCTACCCTACTGTAGTGCCCATGGCTGGGGCTGTCTTTTGTTTTGTTTTAATACAAACAGCACCTGATGGCCTTTGTTTATAAAGGTTTAAAAATATAAAGGAGTCTTTATTGTTTAAAGCTTCAATGCTACTGGTTTGAATTGCTTCACTGTAAAGGCTTTTGCATTTTTTGAGAAGGCAAATGGCCCAAGTCCCTTGATTGAACAGTAGAAGAACAAGGCATGGATATCTAAGCGGCCTGGGAAGATTTTCTGCAACTGGCCACATATTGCTTGGATAGCTATTGGAAGACAGACACGGGGGCAGCCAGAGGCTAAGTAACTCTGTTCAGTATGGATATCCATGGTGGTAACTTCCATGGTGACGGTAGTCATCTTGGTAGCCTTCCTGGTAGCCCTGGTGGTAGCTGTGGTAGCCATACCCACCATACTCATCATCGGGGCACTGCATGCCCAGCGACTGCTGAATTGTCATTTCCTGGCGCCGGAGCTGCATGGAATCAATCAGGTCATACACAATTGCCATAGACCACATGGGAGATGGATACCAGGATTTGACGTTGCCATCTTTCCCCACTAGAAGCATGGAGAAATATTCCGGGCTAATTTGGAAATAATTCCGAATGTCTTTCACCAAATTAGCTGGGATGTCTTCTCGGTCTACAGTTGAGCTTCCTAGAAAGTGATCACATAAAATCAGCATTAATGTTTTGTTTAGTCAATGATGATGATTTCTAGGTTAAAAAAAATAGCAACAGGAGATAGGATATAGCCCAAGAGTTGGCAATATAAGCTTCTTGTCATTTGCAAGTTCAGATCCATTTCCTGGATCTGAAATGAAATTACTGTGAACTAAGGATGCATTTTTAACAGCTTTTTTAAGTTTAGTAAACTTGTTCTTATTCTCTATCCTGAAGCTACTGAAGCGTGGTACATCTTTTTGTCACCCAAAATCCATTAATTACTTTGATGTCTTTTCAGCTTGGGTCACCAGTTTATGTATTGCAGAAGGCATATGTGGAAAACAGTAACAGTGAAAGAAATTAAAAGAATCGAAGTGTGATAGAAGAATTACAGGATATAGAACCTATAGAGCCTCACTCTGTCAACTGTCATGATGTGTGAGGTATGGGATGTGGTAGATGTAATTTCCTTTTCAATGTATATGTTTTAGGGTAAATCTGGTACACTCCAGGCTTTTAAGTGTGACATCTGTGTTGGACAAATGGGTAGAAACTGTAAGACAGTAAGTAAACTAAGATCAGTGGGCACATACATACATAGTTGGCTTGGCAACAGGACTCTTACACGGTGGCACCCTGCCTTACAGACTTGAGGTTCTCGAAAGAGATCAGCAAGCAGGTGGTTAAGGGTGGCCTGGCTGACAAAGGCTATATGAATTTTCAGAAGGCTTCAGAAGGTCCTTTGATAGCATGGTTGAAATAGAAGCAGGGTGGGAGTGAATGTCAGTGTTACTGCAGGGATGGATAGGGATTAAATGTTCACCTTTTTCCCCACACAAGAAATAAGAGGAATCAAACAAAGGTATAGGGGCCAAATAAAAGGTACCTCTCTAGAAGTTCTCACAGTAGAACACGTGCTAGAAGTCAACATGAATTCAAGGGGAGATTAGACAAAGATCTGTTGATCTTAACAAATAGGAGCTATAAACAAAGTCGTGAAGCCTCCGGTGAAAAATCAGTGGAGGCTGCAAGAGTGTTGATGGAAGGAGTCAGACATCAGCTTCCTCTGTTTATTTTTTCCTCATACATGGACTTAGTGTTCCTGTGCTGTAGAAGGACTAGAATGCTTTCATGCACAGAGTAAATAAGCTGCTTTCTGTCTTTGCTCCTCCACTGATGGAGGCAGTTGTTTGGATTAGGTAGCAGAGGAGCCCACAGCATCTGACAGTGAGACTCTCTTAAGGATCTACCTGGAAGAGATTGGTGGGATGCAAGTGGAATAGTAAAGAAAGCTTATAAGATGGGTAAAGACTTTTTAACAGGGTCCAGAGACAGAACAAGGGGTATTAATTTTACACAGAAACAGGGTAAATTTAAATTAGATATAAGGAAGAGGTGTTTTAGGATATGGGTGGTGTGACCCAGGAGCAGGTTGCCCATATGGATGGTCTGTCTCTGGAAGTGTTCAAGGATAGGTTAGATGGGGCTTTGAGCAACGTGATAAAGTGAAAGATGTCTCAGCCCACGGCAGCAGGTTGGAACTAGATAATCTTTAAGAGATCCTATTCACTCTAAGCCATTCTGTAAATATAAATGAGGGATCCATAGAGGAGAATCTGCTGAGTGTGTGTTCTGTTAGCCCTGCAAACTCTTGAGCATGTAAAAAGGCACAGACATCCCTGTCTTTGATAACAAGGCTAGCAGAAGAGTGTCTTGGGGACTATAAGTTTAAGCAGGAAATCAAAATGTGAGATGAACTTCAGATATTTGTCCTTTTCTTTCCTGAAGAACTCATAAAATATTCAGTGCAGAAACACCAAGAAAGCTTTTTGTTTGTTTTTGTCTAATTTCTTAAAAGAAACAAGAGGAAAACAATCATACTCATCCCTCTAAAGAAATTACAGCAAAGAAGTACTCAGCCCTGTATAATGCCCTTCATGGGTAGTGCTGAAGAAACTGGAAACAGTCACCATTAATTGGATACAGCTCTAAGACACCTCCAACGTCTTCTCCAACTCCCAGCAATTTGAGGATAGTTATGTGGCGCAGACCTGCGGAGGAAATAAAGAAGGTTTGTGGGTCAGACCAGATCTTTGGGCAGATTTCAGTTTAATCAGCCAAGTCTGATTAAACTGAACCAAGTCTACATTAGAGCCCAGTCTCAGCCAGACCTCCAGGAGAGTTACTGATTTCTATGGACTCCCTGCCAGTCACGTAATCTGCCCAAACATAAGGACAAGCTGATGTGTTGAGTAAATGTGGTATCAGTTGCATACAGCTGTTCCAAGGACAGTAGCATGGTGATGTGGTTCTGTAGCATAAGGATACAAGCATCAGAATTGCCAGTAAATTGCAGAGGCCATTCTCCAACTCCAGAATCTTCCTGCACTGTTTTCTTGACTAGTAAAGCTTTTACTTATCATACACACAGCAAAAAATTATTTAGCAGCAACATAACCTATGCCAGTTAAACTCTGAATGACTGCAGGGAATAGCTTATGACAGATACTTACTTCTTCCATTTGTTCTGCACAGAGGCTTGGACTGTTGCCTCTGCTTTGAAGAAAGACCTTAGGGACAGCAGGAACTGTTCATGTAACATGAGTCAGTACAAAATAAAAAATCTTTGATGTAACTGCTTTTATAACTTGCAGGTAAGATGCTTGGAAACATACCACTTAGTTAAAACATCCATTGAGAAGTGCTTTAGAAACTCACTGGATTATGTTCAAGCTACCAAAGGGTGGGGATACTCAACTGTTTTGACTACATTTTATTCTTCAGAAAGCATTTTGCAGTGGCCTATGTCACAGTTTACTTTGGTACTTTCCAAATGAGGTGATGCTGATGCTCTGAATGAAAGCCAGGTGATTATGAATAAACAATAATACTGTGCAGATCTCCCTTCTGGTGCAATTGAATGCATTGAAATAGCAGCTGTTGAAAGAGACCTGTTTCATTCTGTTGAAGGAGTTGAGTCTAGACCCTGTATGGTGTGTGCATTGTTAGGAGCTTAAGGAGTAAGTCTCTTTGCACTTCATGACATGAGGACAGAAGAGTGCCTCTGGGTCTTGCCCTTAGTTGTCTCCTGGAGGAGCCCTTCTCTCTCCACTGACTATGTAGGTGGACCTTAAATACCCAATTATGGGTCTGGGAGGGTCTTTACTGCATTGAAATGGATTCCGTTTATATTTTTACAGATTTTGGCAATGAGGCAGTAAGGAAAAGAAAAAAACCTCTGATGTCCATGAATCTCCCTGATGCCTGGCCCAGTTCTCAGCTGGATTTTAAAGGATCTGCCCTTACCAAAACATTTTCCTTATATTGTTAAATTGTGCAGTACAAAAAAGCCCCAAAACAGCTATTGTTCTCCTGAAGTACAAGCCTGAAGAGAAGCTTTGGAGTGCTAATGTTTCCTGCTACATTAGTGCAATGTTTCAAAAATGATTCCAGGGAATGCTTCGTTTAGCTGTCTTAGCTGCTAGCATGCTGTACTACCTGCTTAACACAATCTTCCATTTGGATCTGGAGGAAAGCTTTCAGTTGTCAGACTCAGACTGTCCAGATTCAAACTTGACCAAAGGAATCCATCACATCACCAGGAAGGATGTGGTTTGGGGGAGCAAGGATATAATTCCTTCTGACTTACCAAAATTGCAGGCTTGTCCACTGAGAGCGGCAAGCTGCTGGGAATAAGCCCAATCTTCATCACTGGGAGCAGAGATCACCACCAGGCGCCTTCTCCATCGGAACCTAAAAGAGAGTGTGGCCATGGTCATGACATGTGACTCAAGTCCTCTCAGCATTTCTGTTTTCTGTCGGGTGAGATATGTCAAATCTCTCACAACTTCTAAGTAACAGCTGGATAGGAAATCTTCCCAGTTCTGTCCATCACTGGGAGAGGATAAAGTTTTGTTTGAATTTTACAGCTTGTTTTGAACTTTACAGCTCCAAAACTTTCAAAGAAACACCTGCAGGGCTGCTGCTTCACCAAACAAACACTGCAAAGTTTATGATCTTTGCTCAAAGCCCTTCAGTAGTTACAGCAGTACTGAGAAGTGTATATTCTAGAGAGAAGGATTCCTGTGGAATTCCTCACTAGGCATTTAGCTTTTACCTCATTCACCACTGCTGGAACTGCACAGTTATTTTGCAGTCCAAGGGCTGTCTGAGAATTAGGGTGGATCTTCATTTCAGACATAACTCATACTTCTGTTTAAATAATCACTGACCTCTTTTTTCTTTCCTGCACTACATTTGCACAAAATACCTTCGACATGGCTCTAAATCTGAGCTTGTTTGTCCGTTTGTGGTCGTGTCAGCCTGTGGCTTTATAGGGCATGCAAGGGACAATAAAATAAATGTTAGAATATTTCTTTAATAAGGACTGCACCATCTATCCAAGATTTTGCATAAGGATCACCTTTCTTTCCTGTCAAGGAAAGGCAGTGCCATAAGGACACTTGAAATTTTTAAAAATTCTAACCTCTAGAGGTTTTTAACACTCTCTCAACAACTTGTTTTTTAAATATAGGTACTTCTCCACTTAACCTAAATAAATCAGATTTATAGGAATTTGCAAAGCTGCAGAGATATTTTTACAGCAGGAAATGATCTTTTAAATGGATGCAGATGTTACTCTGCTATAATAATAGCCTGCTTTTCTGCTGTACCATGTGAAGATCTCAAAATGAAGGCTAATGCAAATGGTCAATTCTGCTTCACTTAAGAGAAGCTGAAGATAAGGTGGGACTTGTTCAAAGTCAGAGAAGAAGTTGTTAGAAGAGCAGGGCATGCTGATGTCTTTGCTTTGTTGATTGATATTGATGTTTGTTTGTTGAGATTTTTTGCAGGACAATGGACACGTACAACATATGCACAATCCAGCCTTCATAGAAACTGAGTAAGGTCACCATGCCCTTGAGGGACACGAAAGGAGAAGAACACGCTCAAAAGGAGACAGTTCAGGATGCAAAGGCAGACAAGAAAACCGCAGTGAGACGCCTGAAGAAGGAAGATTAACTAAAATTAACTGATATATTAAAATGCATGTGTAAAAAGGATTTAACCAATCATGTATTAACTTGAGACGTGAACAATAGAAAACAGTATAAGTATAGCTTGCTTTTTGTAATAAACTGGCTTCACTTGATCATACTGGTCATGGCGTGATGTCCCGTTAATGATCCTCTGCAATATTTGTTTACAATTAGAAAAATAAATCCTTGAAAAGCAAACCTCCTCAATTTTCATCTTTCTCAGGAGGAACATCAAAGAAACTTGAATGTGTATTGGTTCCTCTGGGTCTGTATTGAAGGCACTTGAGATGATAGCTCATGTTTGGACTCAGGTGTTTATTATTTCTTATCAGTAAAACAGTCTCACAACCATGAGTTCGGCAGCCTTTCATTAGCAAGGCACAAAATGGCTAACAATCTCTTGTTACAAGGTCTTTTAAGACTAAACTATCCAATTAAGGAAGGATGCCTAGATTATTTTCCCTTTTAACCCAATAACTGATCCCTGGAAGCCCGTAATGTGAACTTTTCTGTCCAATTACAAAACACCACTCAAACCCATGAAGAAGAAGGAAGAAGAAGGTGAAGAAGGAGGAAGAAGGTAAAGAACAACCTGCCTCCACCCTAAAACCTCCATCTTGCTTCATATTTATTTCCATATTCTAAAATCCCAAACTCTTAAGTTTTCCACCCTGTGATATTACACACTTCTAACTTCAACCACACACCTGTAATCCCAGTACTATCAATCAATTTTGGTAGCCTTCTTCACAGCCCCGGGTCAAATGCAGTGCTGTCTTGCAATTCTGTGCCTTTCAGCACAGAAAGTTTAAAATTCTCAGCATCCAGGTTCCAACAAATGTGCATGTACAGTTAAGTGAATAGGAATGAGAAGCATTAAGAATCACATATGTGAAGAAAAGGAGGGAAACTTTGTGTCATTATTCTGAAAATGGGGAACAAAATAATCTTTAATTTTGTATAGAAAAGCATCGGGGTACTTACGAACAGTGAGTGAGAATGTGGCAATTGGATCATATTTTGCCTAGGGAAAAACTGTGAGTCACTTTTAAAATACCTTTATATATATATATATATATAAAAAATTTTTTTAAATATCTCTTTTGGAGTTAAACAGAGCTGAAAAGTGTTGAAAGCCATTCAAGCTGTTTATTCCCTGGGCCCAGGAGCACTTGGTGTGCTCATCTGGGACTACATCTTAGAAATTAATTCAGTTGGTCCCTCACAGCTGTTAATTTGCTAACACTAATGTACAGATTTCTGCTTTGTTTCTGACTTCAGAAGCCATGGACCAATACTCCTGAGAAATCTGCCAGACCCTTCCCTTTGTGGATTCTTTCTCCTCTTCTACCTGTTTTGCATTCTGTTCTGATGTGTGATCTCAGAGAGCAGCACAGCCAGTGTCTAGATCTTAGAGGAGGGCTCACCCCCAAATTTAAGGTTTTCTTCCTTCTACATGTGGCTTTTAAGCATTACTCAAGCTGGCTCTGGCTCACATGGTCTCCTTTCACACCAGGCAGGTTTGTTAAGAACAATATTTGCATTTTTATAACTGAGCTCTGCAGGGAGCAACACCAGGGAGATGATGTCAGGACTCTTGTTCAACTGGGAACATGATATTGGACAAAGCTGGAATTAATTTCACTGGGAATCTGACCAGTTAATGTGGCTAGAGAAGTCCACCCAATATTTAAAGCTTGATGCTTGTTTCACAGACAACTAATGCATTCTGTGCAGCAGTAGTTCTGTTCACAGATGCAGCATTCTGCATTTTTCGTGCCCAGTTTTCTAATGTGTGTTTATTACTAGGGCTGTTTCCAAGCAAAGAAGGATTTGGGGCCTGTCCCTTTCCAGTACACAAGATCTTTCTTGTGCTGATCAGCTGTTTCCAAACTGTGGTTCTTCTTGGTGGTCTCAAGGATGAATCACTGGGACCTAAACAGGAGGTGGTGAGGTGGGTGGGGTGGAACTTCTTAAAGGTTCTCTTTCTGTTGAAGTGGCCATTGAATTTTAAAATGTTTATGAACCAACAACCTATTCATTTACTTGCTGCTCATTTCCTCCTCATCATAATCCATCATGCTGCCTCACTTATTTTTAAAGCCTATTTTAAAACTTATTTTTAAAGCTTAGTTTTAAATTAACAGTGTATTCCCATGGATTTTCACAGTAGGTGAAGAGGATGCAGTTGGAACAGATAAGGTCTAGAATGATGGGGTAGCCCTAATTTCATGTCAATTATCCTGTGATAATTGAGAGAGGGCTGTAGATGCACAGCTCTTCTGTGGGTCTGAATGCCCACAGTCCAGAAAAATTTATTGCCTGGAATTTAGGTCTCAGGGTAGAGTAATAACACAGCATGTAGGGATTGCATAAACAAAATTGTCTTTCTGTAGAAGGTCTCCAACATTTTGCAAAAGACGTCTCCAAGACCTTTAATAATATGCATGACTAATACTGGCAAAGACAAACTGTTATCTCAAGGAGGATAAGAAGGAAGTTGGAGAGAATTAGTTGCTGATTTGAACTACATGGGAGAGATTAGAATGGGATTAATGAGATTGGGATGGTTGATGATCAAAACACATAAACACTGTGCTTCATACATTCAAAACACTGAGCTAGCATCTGTGAATTAATCCTTATTTGCTCTCCTAATACAAATCAGTTTTATTATCTCCATGTCAAGATGGGGAAACTGAGGCACTGAAAATCAGCGTCCAAGAAGATTTAGTTCGTCAGGAAACATACTTCCTGTCTTTCAGCATTCTATACAGGACTGCATTCAGCTCTGGCTGCATCTCTGTATTTTCTTAACATTGTAAATACTGAGAAATCTGTATTTAAAAATCCCAGAAATAGTTACATGGGTATTTTTCCAGTAATAATAATTAGTAAATAATTAGTAGAACTAGCAGTAGATAAGAACAGAAGGTGATACCTGGATAAGAAGCTCTCAAGGGATTGCTTCTTATCTTCTTTGCAGACAATGCCCTCTTTTTTCTGTCTTTCCATGTCTTTAATTCTTGATTGGAAGGTGTCAATCAAATCAAACACAGACTTCATTGCTATGGGTACTTCATAGTATTGCTGTTAAGAAAAAAAACCAAGACAGGTGGGTATGAGGATGCTCATATTAGCAGCCTTTCTGCATGTATCACAGCACTGTAGGATATTTAGAGATCCAAGTATTCTAATTTGCACACAGGCAACAAGGCCTAAAACAGATCAGAAACTATGGAAAATAGAATTGTTTTTGCAGTCAGACTGCCCTTTGGAAGTGGCATATTGTCACTATTTTCCCAAAGTGATAAGGCCAGGACATTGCAGTTATTATATTCTTTTGTAAGGCCATTGAACTAGAGGATTGCCCTTTTGCAATGTGCTGTCATCCTGCTGAGCAGCCAAACTGTGTGTTTTAGAATGGCAGGTACTACATTAAAACCCTCTCAGGTGTAGGGAGGTTCTGTTCCTCATCATTCCAGCAGAAACACACAATTCCTGAGACCCCCTAAGTGCAGAAAATGAAGATAGCTGTCTAAGTTCTGAAAATTTCACTTATTGTTCTTTTGCTTGTCCTCCAGCAATAACCACGTCCTGCATCAATATCTTACGTGCTTCACATGCAAGTGAAGTATAATTTCCTAAATTTTTCAAATTTTCTTTCATATGTTTCCAATGCATTTTCTTTCAAAAGAGCTGAGTTCAAAGAGTTGAAACCCTCACCTTGACCCTCATGTCAGTGTCTGTCAGCACCATGAAGAAATCATTGTAGGTCATCCCATACTCTTTCCTCAACTCACTGATGAGCTGCTGGTCCACAAGATCTTCATCTTCTACCACTTTCATGGGCTTTTCATTGTCTTAATGTGAGGCAAAGGAGAAATAAAAATAGTCATGGAATCACACAGCACTCTGCCTTTAATTTTGCCCCAAAAGAAAAGGGAGAATTCATTTCTCAGAAACTCTCTTCCTGCTGCATATTCAATGTATTACAAACCATGTGTATGAACTTTTCATTCATATGACTTTTAACTGTCTTGTTTTCCATTCCAATAGTCTTTGAAAATCAGATGATCCTAGGGCTCATGCACTTCAATTATTTATCCTTTGTACATTCTTTTGAGAAATCTTGCTTTTTCTCTGGAAAGATCTTTGAGATTTTTTCAATATGCTCATACATGTATATGCATGTACTAATCATTTCACCAGCTCCTGAAATGTAGCCACTTCTGCGGTGGAAAATATAAATTTTGACAATGAGCACCATGTGCAAATGAAAAGCATAGGTGATTTGGGTCAGTAAAATATAGCTAGAACAGCTTGAGGTAGGCCAGGACAGTAGAGTTAACCTTACCAGTCGTAAAAATTTACATGTAGTGACTATAAGAAACCAGAAACTGTTTAACATGTCTTGAATGCTGCAGTGCTGGCAGCATACCTCTCTAGATACCCGACTTTGGTATTCCTTCCTCCTTCTGCTTGCTGATTCTAGCAGCCTGACAGGCAAAAACTTAGTTTTGAGTATGACTTGTACCTGCTCAGTGGTCCATTCTAAGACAATATTCTGAAACAATGAGAAAAAGACTTCTGAACACAGAGATTTGAAGACAAGCTTGTGGAGCTACTTAGGTTCTTTACATCCATTTGGAACCAGGGTGCATTGCAGTCAAGTCCTGAAAGTCTCTGTGCCATCAGCACAGCCTCAGCTGTAGCATCCAGCACAGCCCTATACAACTGCAACAGTGCTGAAACAAGCTTCCATATGCAATTGTAGGTCTGGAAAGCTAGGAACAGGCTAAACCACACACCAAGTTTAGCTGGACACCGAGAGCTCCCTGCAAACACTGCTTGCCTATGCCCTGTGGCACCACTATGAATGTTGTCTTCATATCCTCACTTAGAAATGCCAGCCATGGCTCAAGTGACCTGCCTGAAGTCAGAGACACGGCAGGTCATCAAGAAGTGGAATCCAGGGGTGCAGCTTTTCAGTCCCTTGCTTGATAATTGTCAGCAAATAGAGATATGATTAACTGATCCAAGTTAAGCACATAGCAACAAGAAAGATTTTAGTCATTATACAGCAAAGCATTTAAAATAGTTTTCTAAACATACATGGCTTTTAAGGAGCATACTGATCTGATTCAAATTTTGCAGCAGGTCCATCCTGTGTATAGATAGAACGAAACTTCTGAATTAAAATTTTGGGGAAATGTCTGAATTAGAATCTGATCTTTAGGTTTCACACCTTGAAGCCACTGCTTACAAAAACAAAATAAAAAAAAAAGCCAAGCCAGCAAATATTAAAATTTGGTTATACTTATCATGTTATATATCTAATTTATATGAGTTTTCATTGTTATATGTACCTCAGCTCAAAGTTTTATAAAGAATTAACAAGCAATGCTATGAGCTTTTGATTGGCTGGATTGCTACATGTGCTAATTTTTTATCCACTTCAAAATCCTGCCTCAGGTGCTTGATGAGTGAGATTTATGTATTACTAATGGCAAGTATGACCATTAAAACATAGACTAAAATTTCATGTTTAAAAGCCAAGACTATCTCTTATGCCTAGATGGAGATAGAAAAATGCAAAAGTTATTGTGAAATGTGATGGGAAACAGCTAAGGTACAGGAGTACCTTAGACCAACTGACCTATGGCACCCTTCTGCTTTAAACTCTAGATATCAATATGAAGTTAGCCATTTAGAGTTTCCTTTTTAGGAGATTTTCCTTCAAAACTTACAATGAAAAGAAGAATATTAAATTACAGAGTGATACACAAAATTCTGTATCAAGGAAAAAAAAAAACAATGCTACAAAGGCTGACCTGCCTTTCAAACTTGGAAATTATTTCTGTGGAGAAAAAAGAAGAAATTAATCTAATTGCTTCTTTCCTTCCAAGTCACTACTTGTCCCTGACCCCCTCCTCATAAAGGACATCTGGGATCTGCATGAAGATCCACCGGATCTGAGACTATGCTGCTACCTGCAAAGTCCTTATTCTCTTTGCTTTTTCTGTGAAAGAATGGAGAAACATTTCTCCATACACCTTTGACAGCTAGACAGGCTGGGGAGATGACTGATCTTTAGAAATAATTCCAACGAGCTTACAAAGAAGGTTGTTTTAGCAGTACATTGGCCTAATAGGTCAAGTACCTGCTTTGATTATAGGATGGGTAGCCAGGGGCTGATGTTTAAAGAAGTCTTATTTTTAAAAAGCCTTAATTAAAGCCTTGTTTCTCATGGTGAAAAGAGACCACATTTGCTAACTTGGGCTGAAGAGGAGACCTCTGCAGTGACACTCAGCTTTTGTGTCATTCCAGTGGGAAAGTGGGAAATATTCTCTGGTATCACTGTGAGCTACATTGACCACTTCTAAATGTGTTTGAAATTCCAAGTGAAAAGTCTTTTCTGTTGACTTTTCTGTTCTTGTTTTTTGCATTTCAGTCCCAAGGTGCAGCACTGCGAGTAGACCTCATTATGCTGGGGGCTCAAGCTTCTCACTAGAGAAACATACTGTGTACAAAATGTTTCTTAGGAGCTTTTGCTGCCTTTGATGCTGACAGACAGTGAGCCTTGAAGAGGCCATACAAATAGGAAGGGTGGAGGAGAAGGGGTGTTAGAACAAAAAGATATTTGTATTATTTATTCGTATTGTGTGTATCGCTATAAAGCTCAGGATTTGGTGTTTTGGGCAGAATTGTAAGGTGAATTTCATGTAAGGTTTAACCTATACCCTTCTAAATCTCCTGTTTTTCTTCAACAATTTAATTCCTCCTATGAGAACTCAGATGTTATATACACTTATGTGGTTTGGGGAAAGTTTGGATGTAGGTTAAGTTTGGAACAGGCTGAAAGAGTATGGTCTGTGTCAGAGTGAATATCTGAATATTAGCCAGACTGGAGCTAAATATAATCCTAAACAGTCCACTGACAGGCAGATTGATCTAGGTACACAAAAAGTAACCTTGAGTAACCTTGGCCTGATGTGGAAAATCCTGTACTGCTCCAGATTTGTCAAGGAGGTTCACGAATGGACAGTCTGGCAGGATTTGTGACTCACTGTCACTCGGTGACACAAGGCTAGATCCTGTCTCTCTGAGAGTAGCAGAGGCACAGCTGGAAGCCAGACATAAATCTGTGATCTTCTGGCCATTTATATGCCTGACCTGAAACACCATGCAGCTGGTCAGGCCCTGAGCTTTCTGTTCCATCACGCATCTTTTCCCAAGGTTTGGTAAAACCAGATGAATTTTGAGGGGAAAGATGTGGTGGACTTGTAAGCAAAATTAGAAGCTTTTATTCTATTAGGGGTATAGAACTGTAGAATATTTGTATTTCTTTGGCTTAATCCAGCAAAACACTCATGATGGTGTTAACCTTTAGATTCAGACAGAAATGAGATAATTCAAAGATTCAAGAGATACCTAGGCTTAAGTGCTTTGCTGGACTGCAACCTGAAGTCTTTGTCCAGCCACTATTGTTGGAAAAGGACAGGTTTTCACTGGTGTTGATGGGTGCTTCCCCAGGACCTGAATACTGACAGCAGTTGTTTCAAAGCTGCCTAAGAGAGATGGATGCCCAGTGTCACCTGTCTACATAGAAAATCTGAATGTGAAGAAGGTGGCACTAAATATGTCTAAATGAGGTACTTTTCAGGTCCTGCATAGTCTTAGATTTTGACCCAAGCTGGGGTGATTTTTCCTGTTGCTGTCTGGATAGTGCCCATGAGATGGAGAGAAAGTATTAAAAGAAAAAGAACCTAGCTGGAAGTGGTCAATTTTCATGCTGCTGTTGTTCATGGTGCCAAAAATTGTGATGACTGAGATCTTCCTTGTTGCCATCTTGCAGAAGCTCTCCAGATACTCGTCTCGCTGCTGTATGTACATGGTGTTGTCCACCTTGGGGGTTGTGATCAGCTGGTTGGTGGCAGAGACAAAAGAGTTTGTTTAGTATAAGGAATGAAGCACGCGATTGTTTTACTGAAGGAGAGCTAGTGGCTGTCTGCAAAGCGGGCTCTCTTTCCCACAAAGCTGTTATTTATTTCTGTTTGGAGTGTACCTTCATGCCCAGGCCTGACCCAAAGACATTCAGCCAGCTACAGGAAAACCTTCGGAAGCAGACACAGCTGGTTGCACCAGCTCCTCTGCTGCTTCTACCACAATGCAGGTAGAAGAAATATCACGATGTTTTACAGAAAGCCGCACACTCTCCTTCCATCCCTTGCCCTGCCAGGCCCACCAGGTCTCCCTCACAGCCTTCAGTGGCGCTCTGACTCACTCACAGGGCAGCTCTCTGCCCTCATCCCACGGCTCAGGCACAGCTCCGCAGTTTTGACTGCCGAGGGGTGAGTACAGCTAGGGCTACGTGAGTGCTTATCTAACTGATGGCCATCTAGGAAGACCTTCAGGACTTGCTAAGGCCGCTGTGACCTCATCTGAAAATGACTGATTTTGCTTTTCTTTGTTCTAAGACACTTTTGCTCTCTTATGGGACTCATACTTGCTCAAAGGCACAGCTGTGGGCAAAAAGGAAGAGGAACAATTACAACAACAAAAGTATAAACAGCTCTACATTATACAGTACTTACTTCAAAGCCTTCTGAGGATTACAAATATTTAATTTTTAAAAAGTTTAGAGCACTCAACTCAGATCGTTCATCAGTGACTGAAATGAAAATATTCCAGGGAAGAGGTGTGCATAACAACATTCAGTGATCCTGTGCAGCAGTTTCCAGCAGAAAATGCCTAGGAATGCTGCAGCTCTAGCAATGTAATCATTCTAACTGGCAGCAGTGAACTGCAATCAAGCACCTGCCACTGATCCCCCAAATACAAAGGGAGCTGGAATACAGACTCAAGTTTTATGATTTAAGGTCACAAATAATCACCAAAATCCTTCAATTACAAATTTATACTTTAATCTGTAATAGGAGTAATAATTTTTTGGCTGCCTTCTGAAGTTTGTGGGGCTGAAGGCTAATTTTTACTGTACACTCTTTCTAAATCCAGTTCATCAATGTAAAAATATTTCTAGGCTTATAAAATCTGCCTCTCATTTATGCAAAGGTCCCTGGCATGGCTGCAGGTTTGGGACATTAAGGTGAATGAGAGTGACAGACAGAAAGAGGATTTGGTTTCAGGGCTACAGCATGTAACACATTGCTTTTAAAATGCATATAAAAAAAGCTTCAAATAAAGAAAAAAAAGGATTGTGAGAAGGGCTTGAGGACTGAGATGAAAAACAGACCATTGGTTTGTATTGTCTCCTCCTCGTTTTGGAGGTCATAAGCTGGAATGCAGAGTCAAGCCTGAATCTGATCTGCTTCATCAAACCTTGTAGAACAAAGCAAATTTCCCACCAAAGCTTTGTGCCAGGTCTGTTTTAACCCAGGCTGTATGTGCACTGTCTCTATCAGTGTTTGCATCACAGAATCACAGGATGGTTTGGGTGAGAAGGGACCTTCAACACCATCTTGTTCTGCCAGGGACAGGGATACCTTCCACTACACCAGGTTGTTCAAAGCCCCATCCAGCCTGACCTTGGACACTTACAGGGATAGAGCACCCACAACTATCACTCTCCCTCTTTTTTATAAGCTCTCTTTAGGTACTGGAAGGCTCCTATAAGGTCTCCCTCAAGCTTTTTCTTCTCCAGGGCGAACAATCCCAACTCTTTCACCGTTTCCATAGGAGAGGTGCTCTGGTCCTCTGGTTATCTTCCTGTTCCTTGTTTGCATGCGTGCATGCGCGTGTGTGTGTGTGTGTGCATTTGGGTGTATATGGAGTGTTACAAATAAACTGTCAGTTGGCATTTCATCACCACAGAGAAATAAACAAAAAACCCAAACTCACAAGGCCAAAATTTCTAAACATTTGTAAGACTGCAACAAAAGCCCCACTTACAGAGAGGTGAGGCTGTTGGATTGAAAACCAATACAGTTTTTTTTTTTCAGTTTCTGCTCCTGGGACCTATATTTGTCATTAATTGAACTTAACCCAGAATAACTTCAAAATTCCAGATGTTTGAAATTCATACTGAAATCTGAAATTGTTAATGTTGTATAGCTTAAAACCCCAGGTCCTTCTTAAAAGATGTTTGGAAAAGGACTGAATGAATGTCCTTGAAAGCCAGTCCAAAAGATAAAAATATAGCAAAGCAATGGGATGGACTTGGGTAGAGCCACTTCTGCAGCAATGTGGGCTAATTCTCTAGAGAGGGAGTTTAAAGACAGAGTTAATTGTAAGGATTTTTCCCCTAAGGGAACTGAAGAGTTTGATTGGAAGGAATGCAAATAGGCATGTGTGTGGATTCAAAGAAGCTTGAGAAGTTCTTTATTTTCCACATGTGCCATGAGCGGCAACGAGAAAATAGAGTTCAGCCACTGCTTTTACTAATAACCAAACCAAACCTATTCTTCAGGGGCTTCAGAGTAAGCAGGTTGAGGATGTTATTAGATTCTGGAAAACTGAGGTGCAGCATGGCATAATCATTTGTCTTCAGTGAGTTCTGGCCTGATAACCTGAGATTGTGCAACTCTTTTCTCAGAGATCCAGCTGTGAGGTGGCCCAGTATCAGAAGGCTCAAATTTCAGACAATCCTTTAAGTTGCCAGGACTGTGGTGGTATTATGGATTAGCAGCCTTACATCTGTGAGCTTTACTTTTGGCTCTTTTATTTTCAAGTTTGTTTATATTTGTCCTGATGCTACATATATTCTTGAAAACCACAACATTGAAATCAAATTTCAAGGATCCCAACTTCTACATAGTTTCTCTCTCTGAGCTTTTGTTTTGGCTAAATATTAGTTAACAAGTAACTAACAGGCATTATTCAAATTCAGTCAAGTTCAATTTTTTAAAATATATGGTTTTTTTCCACTTCTAGTGCTAGCTCTGCATATTCCCTACATCTTGAAGAATGGGCATGGGGAGAAGAAAGTTGCCTTGTTTTCAGGCCCATGAATCATCAGCAGAATGATTCATTACATTCCAATGGCTGAAATCTTAACTTGGCATCTTAGCTTGGCACCTTAGCTATTTGTACTGGAATATGGAGCATGAAAGTCAAAGGCGTTTGAAACAATGACTATTGGACAATAACTGTGAAACAGACCAGCTTGCAGTAGGGTAATTGCAAGAAACCAGCTCCCACAATAATATTTTTAAAGAACTGTTTTCCAAAGTGTACCCTGCAGGATATGTGTCATCTGCCAGAAAAAACATTTGTACTACAACTAAAACTGTTTCCTGTCCCAGGTGAAGTGGTTTTTATAAGTAGTTGGAAAAACATACAGTGCTATAAAACCTGGAGACAAGTAACTCCAGACCATGCTGAAGTTCTCAGGCTTGAAAACTCACTGGAATGTTACAGTTTAATACAAACAGCAGGAGAAAAACCCAAACCAAAATAAAGTTTGCACAGGATCTGTGAAGATGTCTAGGAGATCTGAATGCCAAATTCTTATCAGATCTTAATCCCAAATTCCCCATCCCTCAGGTCACCTGCTCACAAGCCTTTGTGCATACCCTCAGTCAGATGTGCACTAGCATTGCCAAGCCACCTGGCTTGCTTCCAGCTTTAGGACACCAGCACCAATATGAAGCAGGTGTGCCAGCTGGCAGGACAGGCAGAATATTGAAGCGTGGTAACTTTGGCAAGTACCCCAAGGAGACAAATGGATGTAATCCACACTGGAACCTCATTTTATTGATCATAATGGTACAGATCCTGACACCTACATATCCACTAGAAGCAAGGTAATCTGATGGCTATATGATGGCTCATGGAAGTGGCTGGGAACAGGTTTTATCCTAATCTCTGGACGACTGATTCTTATATTGCATGTAAGATTTCCAGTATGAGGCTGTGAATCCTGTTGAAAACAATCATTTAGGTCTACAAATTTTACCTCTTAAGATAAAAGCACCAAAAAAGAGTGATAGAAACCCCCTATAACCTTATAGTTCCACATACTTCTCCTATGAGGGAGATAAGACTTTATTTAGGTAATAAAATTCAGATGAATGAATTACTTACAATGAGTCTCCTCTTGCCTTCAAAATATTCCAGGAGGTTAGTTACTGATTTCCTGGGAGGCTGTAGGAAAGTCTTCTTGTTAGACTTGGGAAAATCCTCATTCTCAGTCCTGCTTCCCTTCTTCTTCTTACTGCGGTCTTTGTCCTTCTTGCTCTTTTTTTCAGCTTTGACCTTCTTGGACTGCTTCTCACTCTTTTGCTGCTTGTCAGGTCTGTCCTTCTTCTTCTTCTTCTCAGGTTTATCCATTCGGTCATGCTTCTTTGATTCTTTTCCTTTCTTTTGGGGAATATTTCCCACTGCAAACTGTTCCTCTAAATGGGAACTAGCAGGCTTGCTAGGGTCGTATTTATCTTCATACTCATTACTGAGTATCTTTTCTTGCGTCTTCTTTTTTGGTGGTTTTGTCTTAGTTGGTTTGTGTTGCCCAGGTGTGACATTCAGGTCCCTGTGGTTAAAGTCCTTTCTGTCAGTTCTGTTATCTTTAAATCTACCCACGTTTGCCTTTGTATAGTGCACTGAGGGAGACGTTGGGAGTTCTGTGAAACTGTCATAGCGGGCAGTCTTGCTTGGTTTCCGTGTGGCTGCCAGTTGTTTCTCTTGGTGGCCGCGCTGCCGGTCCCTGCGGCTTGTTTTCCACACAGGAGAGTAGGAGTCTTCAGAGGCTGTGACTTGTGGTGTGGTGGTATCGGGAACTCCTGGCAGCCTGTGGTACTCTGTGATGGAATGTGTCTTCACGGTCCAGGTCCTCTGTGTGCTGGGCAGGGGTGTGGTTGTAGACTGGCTGGCTGTTGTCACTGCATGGGTGGTGGCACGAGTAGTCGTGGTGGGAGGGAGGGTAGTGGTCCTTACTGTAGGCAGAGGAGTGGCCACTGTGGTTGTCATTGGTTTCCTCACTATTTTGACCCTTGTTGGTTGATGATTGCTCTTCCTTGGATCCTCCTTCCTTGCTGACACCTGGACATGTTCACTGCCATGGGCAGGCTGCATGGTACCCCCATTATTGCCTTCCTCAACCACTTGCCCCTCCACCCCAGCTGCTTTGCATGTCTGGATGAAACCCTTCTGCCTCATCTTCTCAATTTTTCTGATAGGGTTCTGATCAATGACTTCATACATGGCCTCTAGCCTGACTGGATAAGGATACCGTTCCTCCACTTGCAGGGTTTTCTTCAACAGTACCATGCCAAATTTCCCTTTCTCTAGTTTCAGAAAGCTCAGGAGCTTAGGGATGAGGGCAGGATCTAGTGGCTGTTCCAGGATTTTTCCTTCATTTGTTATCCTTCTAACTTTTCCCCCTTCTTCCCCTTCCTCATGGAACAACACAATCTGCTGGATGTGCCTCTCAGCCAGTTCACAGTAAACATCATTTTTCAGCAGGCTCATCATGAGCCGGTAGTAGCCCTCAGAGGCATGGGGGGCAGAAATAACCCACACCCGATTTTTCCCAGCAAAGCTGGCCAGGATATTGGGAGAACTTGACCCTGAAGGGAAATGTACCCCTCGTGACTGGGTGGCAGAGGATATCCCTTCATCCTTAATCATCTTGGACTTGGGGTATTTGGCTGCAGCTGTGAGTCTCTGTACCAGTCTCATTCTGGTCCCTGTGCCCCTGGCCTGGGAATGTGCTTCCCCTTGCAGGAGATTGGCGGGTGGCTTTGGAGGTGCTGAAGAATCCCTCTTGGTGACAGGGTGTTGAGGATTCGGGCTTGAATTCCTCGGAGATGCTCCAGACCTTCTCAGGAGGCTGCTTGAAGCCCTGTAAGCCAGGGGCACTTTCCTAACTCCATGGCTCCCCCTTTCCACTAGCCTCTCTGTCTTCTCAGAGCCACACACCAACCATGCTGCCCACAGCAGGGCTAAGCTGAGAGCTGGCCTCCAGTTCATTGTGCAATCTGTGTTCAGTGGGGGGAGAAGGAGAAAAAATAGATGTTAACAGTATGATGATATCTTGCACAAGTGATTAAAAATGCACAGCACAGACTGGCTATTTAGTGTGATTTATAAGTGCTTGATTACACCTCAGTCCTGCCCTAGTGGCTTTGTAAGTTTTACAGTTATTTTTGGAAAAAACACAGAATGGATCACTTTATGAAAAAATGAGATCGCCCTTCTGTAACACGATACTGTCTGTCTAAAACGACACTGTGATCTGCATCCTTCTCTCTCTCTCACTTTCCCCGTTTCTCTCACACTCTCACTATACACACATGCAAAGACACACAGAGAAAGGGTCCCATATAGAGAGCAGAAAGACAAGAATTTGACTTGAAACTTACACTCTCAGGGACGTTCCCCTGCCAGAGACGAGTTCTCACGTCTTTTTCCTTTAAAAGGAGACCAGTGCCATACAGCTTTACTGTTGTTCAGTGATTTATCTTTATGCAGCACAACAGATCGCAGAGCCTGTTGTGCGTCTTATAACTTTCTTCTTCACCTTCTTGACAGGCAGGATGAGGTTAGCGGAAATTTCCTTTGTGATCTCTGCTTCTCCATTTACCTGCAGGTCTGGATTTTTGCTGTACCGGTTACCCACACAGGCAGGGATTTCATTTAAGAAAAGGGAACTTCTGGTTGCTCCAAGTCACTCTCTTTTAAACTTCCCAAACCTCCTCCCCGCTCCTTGCTTCCTCAGTCCCGTCTAGCTCCTTTGTTTCCAGAGAGGAAAGCACCAGCACTAATATATTTTCCAGGCTGAAGAAAAACACAGGAATGTGATGCTGGGAAAAAAAAAAAAAAAAAAAAAAAAAAAAAAAAAAAAAAAAAAAAAAAAAAAAAAAAAAAAAAAAGAAAAGAAGGTCGCTTCTCTCTTCCCTTTCCCCTTTCTCCACACTTTGACAAAAGCAAACTGTAAAACACTCGTCTTTTTTTTTCTTCTTGGCTGGCCGCAGTCCCAGAAATGTCAGGGCAACCCCAGCTCAGCTCCGAACCAGCCTCAGACAACGGTGGCCACTGGAAATGGGAGAAACTTCACTCAGGACTTAACAGCTCAGCAGAACCCGCCTCCTCCCCACTCTGACACAGGGAGGGCGGAGGAGGAAGGCTCTGGGGGCTGAAACGCTGCACAGCATCACAGCACTTCAGAGGGTGACTCCAGCCTTAACTCTTTCCTTCACACATCCCAGCTCCGTGGTGTTCTCCGACATCAGCTTTTTCTTTCCTCCCTCTCACCAAACGGGCGCTGTCTGGATAAAAAAGTATGTTTCTCCATTAGTCTCAATAACAGCTCTGGTGTTTAAGAATTATTATTTAAAACCTCATTATTTCTGCCTTGTCTTTCCCTTTTCCTAGTTTTTTTTTTTTTTATTATTATTTTTTTTTATTGTTTTCTGGGAGTTCCTCAGTGAAATCCAATTTTTCTTCACTTTCCAGCCACTTTCTTTCAGGTTCTCATGTATGTCGATATATTCTTTCCTCAAACATCATATGGGCATGACTGTTTGTTAATTTGTAGTTTTCAAAGAGATCGGGTTGTTTACTATTGTATTAAAATTAGAATCATATTTATTTCCCGTGAATGTGCACCAGCAGTGGGGAAAAAAAAAAAAAAAAAAAAAAAAAAAAAAAAAAAAAAAAAAAAAGAAAAGGTACAAAAATACCTGCAGAGACAAGGGTAAAGGCAGGGTCATGTCCTTTGCTCTCCCTTCATGTGTAAATGACACCATTCTATTGAGCTGATGTAAACTGGCTCAGCCTTGCCGGCACACCTGGTCTTTAGCTGATTCACACTGGCTTCAGTGTGCCGAGCACCCTCAGTGTAAAACTCCACTCAACTGTAGTAAAGGGGTAGCGCCTAAAAATATCCAAGACCTTAATACTACTTTAACTGTTTTCCAAGATTTTGCTTATTGGTAGGGATGCTGTTACATGTCTGTGATAACACACTGGATTTGATCTCAGTTATGTTGTCTGGAGGTGAAGGTGCACCTTCTACTTTCCTTGAAATTAATGTTTCAAAGAAAAAACCTTTCCTTTTTTTCTATTTTATTTTCTTAGGTATTTTTTAAAGTTTTCACTGATAAACATTAGTGGCTTTACTAATATGCATTCCGTTTGTGTTTTGTGGCCAGTGATTTGCCCTGGAGGTAGGGGAGAATGCTGAATGTCTGTGCTCATATTAACACGAGGGCAAAAATTCTCAGACTTTCCCAAAATATCACATCCTACATTCACTGGGAGGTAAGGGGACTGTGCCTCTCACAAGAATCACAAAACTGGAGTTCTGTGGAATAAGAGTGGGTAACATTTCCCACCTAAATTAGTGTCAAGCCTGCTGGTTTATTTATCATGACGAGGGAAAAATGTCATTAAAAATTACCTTCTTTCATGATGACATTTTAAACAGACTGTAAATAAAAATGAGGTTTTAATTTCAGCGTTTCATCTAGTTTCATTACAAAGATTTTAAAAAGAAGTGACCCTACAGCGCTGAAGCCAAGCATTTGATTTGGGGTAAATCAATTAAAAATTTAAACTTCCTCAATTTTCTTGGTTTGGTAATAATTTGAAACCACACAGAGGCAAAACATCACTCATCTGCACAAGTCTAATGATGCCAAGGAAAATACGCTCAGTACATGGCTGCAGAGGAAAGAAACAGATTTCCATATTAGCTTTGCAGTCTATCCTGTCCAATTATAGATGTGCTGAAGATCTTCTGTGAGGACTTTCCTTTGCTTTCTCAACCTGATTGAAGAAGTAGCATATTACAAAATCTGCCTTAAGTGTATCAAAGGGTGGCAAATCAGTGAAGATGATGGGTTGTAAGGCAGGTGTGGGAGGATCTAGCACACGAAAAAACATGCAGCCATGGGGATTATTCTCAAGGCTGATGTTTGATAGTTTATTATGATGTTTGATAGTTTATTCCTTGCCTTTGTCCAAGGTGAGGAATAAACTTGAAATGACTGCTGGAAATATTTGACATGAAAATTTCTTAGAAAGTAAATAATTTATACAGGCCAACAGGGGACTCCTAGTAAAGTGAGCATGTATTTTGAAGGGCCAGTGCAACGTTTTGCAGCAAGAAGAAAAAAATAAAGACGTAAAACATTCATAAGATTCAGAACAATATACTTGAAGGGAGCTATTCAGTAAGAGACTTAAAGGTCACTGTATACAAGCCCCTGGAAATAGGCTTTTGGTGTGATATTGCAGCAAGGAGAAAACCTGCCAGCAGCCCACTGCCAGCAGCTCAGTGAAAGTTGGAAAGTCATATGTAGTGTCAATAATGTGATTTATGCTGTACACATTAGGCTTTTCAAAAAAATTGTAAAGGGTTCAAAAAGTGATGTGATAGCTGGATATGATCCTGCTGAAAGGGAGGTGGGGAATTAACTATGTGGAAGGCACGGCCACACATTGTTCATTATTTTCTCATGCATACACAGAAAAGAGTCGTGCAAATAAATTGCTTTTTAATCCAGCAGGGGAAGGCAGAAGGATAACCAGTGATTAGGAATTAAATCTTGCTAAGTGCAGACTTGAAGTAATTGCAATTACTTGAAATTTTCACTAATTTCCTTAGTTAACCCTGGAATAATTTGGTCAAGAATGTGGCTGTTTTCTCTGGCTTAGTCCTCAAATCAAAGCTTTAGGAGACCTTCTTGGCTGGACTGGAAGTAATCACAAAAGGATGAGTGAACTCCCCCTGGACACTTCTACATGGGAAATCTGAGATCAAAATGACACCCTCCCCTGAAAAATGCAGCTCACTGGAGGCATGGAAATGAATTCTGTAGCCCACTGAACTGAATTGAGCAGTCTGAGAAAGGTGGAATGCAAAGTACAAAACCTATATCCCTTAGAGAGCTTTTAAAAAGGAACTGAAAGTTAATGCTATGTCCACAAAGAGAAATTATGTATCTGTTTAAGGATGACAGCACTGCAAGTCTTTTTATACTCTGCTTTAGGTATCAGACTTAAATATATCAAATGTGTCAAGAGGTGTGCACACATGTACGATATTTCAGCTGCTAAATAATTAATAGGAATGTCAAGTACCCCATGAACTGGGATTCCTTCTCAGTCCTTCAAAACCTGGAGAAATAAGGTAGCAGCAAGAAGGAGACAGCCAGAGGGCCAGCCGAGAACTTTCCTTTAAGTAGACTTCAGGGCAATCCTCCAGAGAGTGTGGGAGAAACTGCTCCCAAGGAAGGTGAAAGGAGGCAAGGGGCTTAGGAAAACTGGCATCATCTACTTTGCACAGGGCTGGGAAGCTGGGAGCCAGATAAGCAGGTGTAGGCTCCCCTGCTGATGCCAGTGGGGGTTGTTAGGGTGGAGAGCACCAGAGCCTGAATCCTGTGAAGCCAGACATTGTTGATGCTCCAAGGGCCAGGTTTCTTGAACCCTGCTGGGTCCGCACTTTCCTGAGGGGGAAAGAGGCTATTATTAGTAATCTGACTGGGGTCACAACCCAGCCAGCAGCTGGAGAAATAACAACTAGTAGTGTAAACAGGGGAACTGCACTTCAGCCCCCTGTATGTGAGCAGGAAAGGGAGTCAGCACAGGGAGGCTTGCAGATGCAGTGACCCGTGATAGAAAGAGCAGTGCCTGGTTAGTCAGATCAAGCTCCTAAAATAGAAAGGGGCTTTTGATAAATGGGTTGGCTGGACTCATTTGAATCTTCACTTTTTCAATATACATTTTTCTGTGGAGTCCTCAAGAATGTTGCCTAGAAACAGGTGATGCAATGTGACACTCAAGCTTTAAAAATAAATATTACAAACTATAACATTAAATGTTTTGAACCAAGGCTAAGCTTCCTAGGTACTGATAGGATTGCAGCCCCAAAAGTTCAGGCTATAGTTGAGATTCAGGGAAGTTCTGATGCCTGGATGTTATTAGTGGCCTATGCTCAAGCTGACCTTGACTTTAGCAGCTCTGCTTGTCCAGTTTATTGAGCTTCCTGGTGAGAGGAAGGCTCTCACATAGACCCATTTCTTGTTCTACATCTGGTTGACATCTGAGATGGAAACATCAGCCGGGGAGAACAAAATATCTTCTGGACAGGACTGACACAAGTTCCGCACCAAACTGACTGATGCAACTGGTGTTATGGTCACTAAAATGAGAGGGTTATACAGAGAGCAAATGAGTACAAAGGTTGCCATCTGCCGGCCTTGCAATTGGTGTTACGCAGGCACAGGCTGGGGGGTGGTAAAGCCACTCCAGCATGCTGCAAGTGGTCTCTCCACAATACATCTGCTGGGGTGAAGCATTCAGAAAACCACAAGAGCAGTCTCAGAATAGTTACAGACAGACAGGCACAGGAATTGTTCTTGAGATGATAAAGAAAACAGGCTTAAATTAACATAAATTGTCAGTGGGTGAGACCAGCATCCCTCTGTTACAGTGATAGAACCCCGCTGGGAAGCTGTGGTAAGGCATCTCATGATGCTGATGTTGAAGACTGTCCCATGAAGTGCTGTTAGTTACAGCTCCCAAGTCACATGCCTGCACGGCTAAATTAATTTGGCCACTGCAGTGAAGTCATCAGCTGCACGGGCTTGGATTCCCATCTCAATTTCACACCTCTGTAGCAGAGGGCTTTACGCTAGCCCAGGTCTGAACACTGACCCAGGCCACATCCTTTCTGTGATGTGCTTCCTTTGTCCGTCTCCCTTTGTCTGGGGGCTGCCAGCTGATGTTGAGCCTTTCTGAACGAGAGGGGAAATTGCCTCGTGGCTCTCACAGCCCCACTCTGTGGTACAAAGCAGATTCA